AAATGGTTGGAGTAGAGAGAAAAATGCGAAAAAGTTTATACTTTCGCTTAAGAAAGTTTATTTGATCGCTTAATCTTTCATCCAACATCCAAAAAAAGACCAAATAAGGATTGCAAATGAACTGATGGCATTCATGCACTTAGTCGATTATACTTGAAATGTTACTGCTTCTATCCATTCCAAACAAAAGGTTTCGCTAAAAGCTTAATCCCAAAGGTCCCAAACGAACAACGCTCCATTCAAAAGAAAAGATACATTAAGGTTCATGGATGTGAATACATGAAATGTCCAGCTCAAATAACAACCAAATCGAAATCGACAACTAAATTAAAAGAGCTTCAAAGACTATTCAGACGTTCTCGAATCACTCCAGAGGTATTCACCCGAATCTATCCCTTGTTAGTTGTCAGTGATACCAGAATAGTAACGTGCACTTTGACTGTTGATCGTGATGAGAAGACAGACAATGAGAAAAAGAACGTTTTTCAAATGGAGCAGTGATCAGAGCAATTGGAATACAACAAAAAAGAATAAAATTTCATGGATCGCAAACCAATGTTTGGGAATCATTGCATAAATGTTTATGTGCGTATCGCATCATTTCAGATGTCCTTCAGAGAGCATATTTTATAGGACTATTACTGGTGGTGAACTGATGAGAAGGTGGAAGGCACTGGGGTGGAGTTGAAGTTTATGACTGATAGGGTGGTGATATCAGTTGTCTGATTAGGACACAATCACAAATAATCATTACAGTGGCACATTATTTGATCTTTTTTTACACATTTACGCAGGAAGCATTATCTTACAGATTCATTCGACGAGAATAAACTGATAATAGATAAGACATGCGAAAAGATTACTTCATCGTTATAATATTAGTTTTTCATCAGCTGTCTGTTATCATAATTGTTATGAAATGAAACGAACCGATTCATAGAAGACGTCATCTGTGTACATGATGTCCTTTGCTCTTTATCTGGCTTCTTCCTCGTCTCTTTATGGATTTCACTGCGAACCTTATAAATAAATAATCACTTATCAATTGAATCCAATCAGCAACATTCACTACTTATTATCAATGAGAATCGCTACAAACATCAATACATCACCAAAATCATCGATCATCTAAAATGATTATATAAGCATAAATCGATTATAAAGTTGCTAATTACGGTGCATAATCTCTTTTGGATAATACGACCGCAAAACCGATCGAATATAATACGACCAACCCTATAGGCGTTATCAACCCTTGGTTTCCGAACTGTTACAATAAAAATTTATTAGTACTCGGCACATTCACCCACCAGTCAACTCACGCTCTCTACATACATCACTCTGTTGATCATTAAATCCTTAATGCTACATCACTCTCAGTACCAATAGCGTTATCACGGCACGACAGGATTCAATTTTCATTTGAGACTGTAAATACGTCAATAAAAAATGTTTAACATTCTTGGATACGTGATTTT